TGCTGATGCTACTGGTGTTGATCCAGCTAAGTTATTTTGACATGCTGTCATTTACAGTGGGGGACCAGGCCTAGCCTGTAGGAGAGGAGGAGGCCTCGCTGGGGCACACTGCCGTGTTGTGCAGAGGCCCAGCGCCAGTGAGGGTGCACCTGAATACAAGTACACACACACAGAGTGTGCACATAGAGTTGCACAGTGAGAGCACACCTTAACAGACACACTAGAGAAGCAGAAGCTCCTACTTGAGAGGAAAGAAGGGCTCTCTGACTAGTTGGCTACCTGAGATGCTGCTGGTGCTACTGCTAGTGCTCAGTCAGTCACTAAGTTATTTTACCTGTTGTCATGTAAAGTGGTGGACCGGACTGAGGCTATAGAGGAGGAGGAGCCCTCACTGGGGCACACTACTGTGTTGTGTAGAGGCCCCAGCACCAGGGAGGGCACACCTTAACACACACACAGTGTCACACATTCACATCATGAGATTTGCCTGTTAGCGGCCAGAGGTTCAGGGCCCCAGAAGCCAGACAGTTTGTTGCGGGTAGGTCTTGTTTGACCAATCTCATTTCCTTCTACAACCAGGTGACCTATCACCTGGACAAGGGAGAAGAGATTGATGTCATATATCTTGACTTCAAAAAAGCCTTCGATCTGGTATCCCATGATCACCTGGCCTTGGGTCCACCATGATCCGCTGGCTGGGAAATTGGCTCCATGGTCAGATCCAGAGGGTAGTAATTGATGGCAGTCACTCATCATGGTGTCCTGTGACCAGTGGGGTCCCCCAAGGCTTTGTCCTTGGACCCATATTGTTCAACATCTTCATTAATGATGTGGACACTGGAGTCAGGAGTGGACTGGCCAAGTTTGCCGGTCACACCAAACTTTGAGGCAAAGCATCCATGCCAGAAGACAGGCGGATGATCCAGGCTGACCTGGACAGGCTCAGCAAATGGGCGGACGAGAACCTGATGGTGTTTAACACCGAAAAATGCAAGGTTCTCCACCTTGGGAAGAAAAACCTGCAGCATCCTTATAGGCTCGGCAGTGCTACGCTGGCTAGCACTACGGAAGAAAGAGACTTGGGGGTCATCATTGACCACAAGATGAACATGAGCCTGCAATGCGATGCTGCGGCTAGTAAAGCAACCAAAACGCTGGCTTGCATCCATAGATGCTTCTCAAGCAAATCCCGGGACGCCATTCTCCCCTTGTACTCAGCCTTGGTGAGGCCGCAGCTGGAGTACTGCATCCAGTTTTGGGCTCCACAATTCAAAAAGGATGTGGAGAAGCTTGAGAGAGTCCAGAGAAGAGCCACGCGCATGATCAGAGGTCAGGAAAACAGACCTTACAACAACAGGCTGAGAGCCATGGGGCTCTTTAGCCTGGAAAAGCGCAGGCTCAGGGGTGATCTGATGGCCACCTATAAGTTTATCAGGGGTGACCACCAGTATCTGGGGGAACGTTTGTTCACCAGAGCGCCCCAAGGGATGACGAGGTTGAACAGTCTTAAACTACTGCGAGACCGTTTCAGGCTGGACATAAGGAAGAATTTCTTTACTGTCCAAGCCCCCAAAGTCTGGAACAGCCTGCCATCGGAGGTGGTTCAAGCACCTACATTGAACACCTTCAAGAGCAAATTGGATGCTTATCTTGCTGGGATCCTATGACCCCAGCTGACTTCCTGCCCTTTGGGTGGGGGGCTGGACTCAATGATCTTCTGAGGTCCCTTCCAGCCCTAATGTCTATGAAGTCTATGAAGACTCCCCCTGCACCTATCTCTTTGACAGCTGGCAGGCTTCGTGGCCTAGCAGGCCTGCAGTAGTGTTTTTCACCCTCCCTATACCCTAAGACAGACTGACACAGCTGGCAGGCTTCGTGTCCTCAGCAGGGCCTGGCAGGCATGCAGTAGTTCTTTTCACCCCCTCGTGCCCTAAGAGAGACACAGTCGCACAAGCACCCACGTCACGAGTTTTGCCTGTTAGCAGCCAGAGGTGTAGGGCCCCAGAACCCCCCTCCACACCCCCCCCATCTTTTTGACAGCTGGCAGGCTTCGTGGCTGCAGCAGGGCCTAGCATCCAGGCCTGCAGTAGGTTTTTTTTCACCCCCCCGTGCCGTAAGAGAGACATAGTTGCACAAGCACCCATGTCACGAGTTTTGCCTGTTAGCCGCCAGAGGTACAGAGCCCCAGAAGCCAGATTCCCCCTGCACCTATCTCCTTGACAGCTGGCAGGCTTTGTGGCTGCAGCAGAGCTTAGCAGGCCTGCAGTTTTCAACCCCATGTGCCTTAACACACACACAGTGTCACCTATGTCATGAATTTGCTTGTCAACAGCCTGAGGTACAGTTTTCCAGAACCCCATGCACCTATCTCCTTGAAACTTGGCAGGCTTTGTGGCCTCAGCAAGAGCTACCACCCCTGCAGTTTTCACCCCACTGTGGTGTAACACACAGACATGAGTTTTGCTTTCATGACTTTGAGGTGCAGTTTCCCAGAAACCCCTTCACCTATCACCTTGAAGCTTGGCAGGCTTAATGTTCTCAGCAGAGGCTACCACTCCTGCAAGTTTCATCCAAATCAGACAAAAAACAACAAAGTTATAGATATTTCATTGATTCCCCATTATACTCTATGGCCGAATCTCCGAATCTCAGCCGAATCGAAGTGGAAAACTGATTCAGACCTCCGAATCGAATTGCCAGCATCCAAATCAGCTGAATCCAGATCTGAATCAAATAGTTCCCTATTTGCACAGGCCTAGTACCCAGTGAATCCATACCTGATGCTACCTGGGGAATCAGCAGTGTTCTCACATCCATAATGTTTAGTGTGAAAAGCAGAAGCTCCCAGCGCTTGATCTGAACAAATCAGGGCCAGATTCACAAGGTTATTTAGTCACCTAAACTCGCAATATCTTTATTGAAATGTCTCTAACACCCTAAAGTGACAGCTGTAGTAGACACTTATCTGCCTGATTAAGTGTCCTCCCCCCTCCTGTGTTATACGTCTCTAGACACTGTTCAGGATTTTTTTCTCTATCTGTATATTGCCCAGGGCTCTATCTAGATTATTTTTAAATGTTTCAGAACAAGGCACTGAACAATTCCCTAATGGGAGTCTGCTCACTAGCACTGCCTGATCTAACCTTTGTGTGTTTACTTTCTTTGTACTTATGTACTTCATGCCAATTATACCAGCCAAGGTACTGGTCTGATGCATCTCAGCAGCAGAGGCTACATTAATCTATCTGAGGGCTAGAATCAATGAGAATTACAGGGTCTGTCGGCATCCAACAGCTTTGATGTACAATTCCTTTTGTATTCATTATAGTCAAGTCCTATATTTTCTCTAGCACAAAGGGCAGGAAGGGAATCCTTAAATGGATAACATTCAGTCTGGTGATTTACCTCACTTGACTTCCTTATGATCAAGGAAGTTCAGGTTTAGAAACAGTTCTCATTATTGTATCCTCATGTATCTTGCTATTACAGTCATCTGTACTGGCAAATGACATCATGGAAGGCTGTTTTAACTGTTCATCTGTTTTGGGGACTAGGATATCCATAACATTTCCTGAGCTTCTGTGTAAACAAGATGGCATAACCCACTTTAAAAGTCTGTTGTCTAGCCCATCAAAACACTGCTAATAATTCCAACAGAATCCTTTAAGAGGTTATGACTCCAGCACTATAAGTTGGCCTTATGGAGTGCTGTTGATAAGTAACTAATAAGGAAGGTTATTTTCAGTGAATTGATGAGTATCAGACTGACATCCCTGGAGACACACATCCTCTATTCATCCGCAGACCAGAGAGGCAGCTACAGGTTGAGGCCTCCTCACAGGTCATATCAACGGCCTGCCCCCAAGGGGCCAGCTGTAAAGGCAAGAACAAGTATTTTGAAGAGTTGATTTGCTGACTAGAAGAGGTAGGCCTATAAAAGCATGCTCTTGTTTCCAAAGTGCTGGGGTGAATTTGCATAGTGAGCTGGTCTTCAATGTATATGTACTGGCTTCATTAATTTATTCTTCTGCCTAGCAGTTTCTTAAAGTCTCTACCTGCTGGGAACATGCCTAAGCAGGGCCACACAAGGAGCTTGCTCTAGCTGTAGGGTGACCACTTGTCCCTAATTGGCTGGGCAGCCCCCAAATGGCAACCTCAAGTCTGGTCCTGGGCTGCATGACACCAGCACAGCATTTGTTCTGGATGTGCAGTATCATGCAGGGACCCCAGTTCCCACTTGCACGCTGGCTTTGCTCCAGCCTGCAAGGGGTTGCTGGGAATTGGGTGCAGGGGGTGCCACGGCCATGCGCCTGCCTACACACATGCAGGTGGCTGGGATTACAGCCAGGCAGCCTGCAGACTAGCTGGGGGAGGTGGCCTGGGGGCAGATTAACGCCCCCCCCCCCCGCCAGGGGGGGGGGGGGG